ATATAACAGAATTATATATATATATATATATATATATATATATATATATATATATATATATATATATATAGAGAGAGAGAGAGAGAGAGATAAACATAGATAGATATGAACAGAATAGGATAGATAGATATTAACAGAATTATATATATATATATATATATATATATATATATATATAGAGAGAGAGAGAGAGAGATAAACATAGATAGATATGAACAGAATAGGATAGATAGATATTAACAGAATTATATATATATATATATATATATATATATATATATATAGAGAGAGAGAGAGAGAGAGATAAACATAGATAGATATGAATAGGATAGATAGATATTAACATATTATATAATATATATATATATATATATATATATATATATATAGAGAGAGAGAGAGAGAGAGAGAGAGAGAGGGACAAGACAGAGACATACAAAGATTTATAGAAAGTACTTCAGTATTACTCGTTGTTTTCCGACTTCTGTTAAAAAAATCTCGTAGAAACGAAATCGACGCCATTGTTATTTTTCTTTCACCGCCATGTGCGGCCCTCCAGGATAAATCGCGTCGGGGAACGTAAAACGGCTTGTCGCCGCTTCCAGACGCGAAAGTATTCAACAGTGACTAGTTATACCTTGGATCCGACTAGTCGTATAATCTCACCTCTCAAAGTGAAGAGTTCCCACATGGGGGCCCGATCTGGTCTCCACTTGATAATTCTTGGAGCATATCCCCTTTCTTGAAAGGTGTCAGCCGGCGAGAAAATGAGTGAGCCGAAATTGTGATTGGAACTGAAAAATAAATAAATTAGAAGAATAAAAATCTTCATGCTGATGTTCATTCGGCACAACTATCGCTCTGTGGTCATTAAAAACGATTTTAACGCCAGTCAAAATAGTCTCCAGCTCTTTCCGTTATTTCTTTTCCGTAGCTAGTAGATCAGACTCATATTTAGAAAGAAAGATAATTCGAAATATAAAGTCGAGCTTTAGTCGAGTACGTTTTTTTATACATTAATTCTTTTTTTGTTTTTAATCCTTTCGCCCCAACCAAGGTAATAAAGCCACTAAGACGCAAGGGCGGTTATTGAGTGTTAGAGAATATGAGGTAAAAAAAAAAAACAATATTAGGGAGAAAGAAAATGAAATAAAAGAACAAGAATTAAGAAGACAGAAGATAACGATTAATATTGCATTTATTTTTTTGAAGATCAAACTTGACTCGGAAGCAAATATCCGAAAGAGAGTTCCACCAACGAGAAGTGCGATGAAGAAACTGTTAGCATAGAACTTACGGTTACGTCTAGCCATTTTAACTGTAAAATGATGAAACCTAACCGCCAATTTTATATCGCGCTTAAATTCATAAAGTCTATTGCCAAAAAGCGGGGAATATAGGAAGGCAGTTCTTGATCTGTCTTATCTTAAACTTAGCTAGCCACGATTACTGACCCACAGTATTCCTTACACCAAAACAATACATTCTTACTAAATATAATTACTGCAGTCACCATAATACCTCATTGTCTCTATGTAGTCCTAACTATTTCCCATATGTAAAATTCCTCTGGTGTGGGTGGAATAAAAATAACATTTAAAAATGAAACCCCATTGAACAGCGGAAAGCTCATCAGTACAATTACCGTGAAAGTATTTATAAAAAAGTCAAAGGCAATCTACGTTAAGTTCGTAGGAAAGTTACTGAAACCAAAACGCCGGGCCAGGGTCAATAACATAGCAGATTCATAGAATTTAATCAAGAATCTCTAAATATATAGCAAGAAATCCAGACCTGATAAGGCAACAATATTCAAAGCAAAGACGAATGGTAAACTTATAAATTTGTAAGGTAGATTCTGGCGAGAAACTTTATAAAATCTAAATATCAAAGAGGAAAAGTAATATTTATTTTGAATAATACAAAAATGTGTCACAAGGCCAAAAGTTGGGGATAGAAGAAGACTGGTCTTCAATCTTAAATTTAGCTACCCACGATTACTGACGCAAACACTATTCCAACATATTCTTACCATTCTTAGTACAGCCACCATAGTACCTCAGAGTCTCTATGTAGTCCTAAATATTTCCCATATGTACAATTCCTCTGGTGGGGAAACGAAACCCCATTGAATAGCGGAAAGTTCATCAGTACAATTACCGTGAAAGTATTTATAGAAAAGTCAAAGGCGATGTGAAAATGACCGAAACCAAGATGCCAGGTCAGGACTGGTAAAATTGCAGATTCTTCTTTGGATTTTATAGAGAATAAATATATAGCTGGAGCACCAGATCATGCGGCATCAATATTCTAAGCAAAGGTGAATGGTCGACCTATACATATGATTTAAAATCTAATTTTTTATGATTTTTTTTTTAAATTTCAGTAGAATGGAATTGTGCATGAGCAATAAGATCATGGCTTGACTACAGGGCACACGGACCTAGAGTGGAAAGGATAATGACTTGCATAAAACAGTTGACGAAATGGAATTAGTCTCATTGACTAAAAGCGTGGGACAATCTCATCAGAATATTTTCACAAGTACATCTCCGTCCTCGTTGAATATTCGGACCACCATAATTGAACTATTGTTATTTATTATTAATTCATCTAATTGGAATTAGATTGAATATAATTGCTTATTGGAGGTGGATTCAGCACAGTAATAGGCGAGCGCATTTTATTTAAATTAATAATTAATAATTATTAATTAATAATTAAATTATTGTTGTAGTTAGGATTTCTTTGAATACATTCTTCGCCGCCGTAATTATCAGCACTTGACGCGTGTTTATCAGTTCCCTTAGGTCAATGGTTATATTCAAGTTGTTGTCTTCTTTTAGAACCGTGTTCCTATTAAACAACAGTCAATTCTTTTTAAATTACACCAGCCTCTGCGTAGAAATTTGTAACGTAACCATTTTTTCTGCTAAGAATCTGTGATGATTATTTTTTTGTTACAAATAATTTTTTATTTTATATTATTTTTTATTGAAATTCATTATAAAATTATTTGTAAGCTCCCTTTAGGCCTTGTGCCATATCAATCTAAAATCATCACTGAAATGCTTCAAATTTTACATTATTTTTAAATAACATACTTCATCCATTTACAGTGTGTATAACGATGTAGTAATGTTTAAATTATGCAACATAGTACCGATCGTAATGGTCGGCGTGTGTATGGGTTTAATTTGGTTATTTAAGATGCAATCGCATCTCTTTAGCCCGAGCAGGTCTCGTCTCTCACATGAAACGTTCCACTGTGCGATCAAGTTCTAAATAGCAAGCTTACCAGGTTAACAAGAGTCTTAGCTGCGGTAAGTCGTGTTCTAGTCAATCTGGACTGACCAGACATTTGAAAGCCAGTGAACTTGGGAGGTGTAAATTCCACAACGGTATGCAATAAATCTTGCAAATCATTTGCCGGCTTCAAGAGCCATTATCGGTCTCTTGATTGTTAATGCAGGTCAATGATGGTCATACACATTTAGTGAGTCGATGACCAGCATACATAAATTAAACGGTAGAGACGAAAGTTCACGTAATTCATGTTCAGTGACAAAATAAGCATTACTTAAAAGGAAAAGAAAATTGCACAAATTATTAGCGAGAACAATGTTTTGAAAGAATTAGTGTAAACATTTCGACACAGTTACCACAAAAAATAAATAAATAATTAAGTACAAAAAAAGCTTTAAAAAGTGCGAAAAATTCTGCATTGAAGTGAGATTTATTCGGACTAATTTTGTGATCTTTGTTATTTTGATTATCACTCTTCAGCGTTTAGTCTTTACGGTGGCCCTGAGCTTCATATGACCAGCTTTTTTCTTTTTACTCAAATCACCACAAGCAAGGCGATAACGTCACTAAGACGCAAGGGGCTACTGCGAGTGAAAGAAAATTAAAAAGAATCGGAAACCCAATTCTAAACAGGAAACAAGCTATAAACCAGTGAAGAGGGTGAAACAAAAGACCAGTGAAGAGGGTGAACCGGACAATAAACAAATATACTGCTGCTGAGGTAAAAATACAGATAAATGAATATTAAATAAATGTTCATATTTTAGGCGGAGATTTTAGAAGTATAGAGTTGAAGCAGACTTTAGAATAAACCGGAAACCCAGTCCTAAATATGAAACAAGGGATGAACCTCTATTACTGTTCAAAATATTAGGAACTTAACGGCGATAGATTGCTTCATATCTGATCGCAATCTTCAATTCACCAGGCTATATATATATATATATATATATATATATATATATATATATATATATATATATATATACACAAGGTGTCCATAAAGTTAGTGTGCACTTTAAAAATTTATAACTTTATTTTTATTTGCGATAGAAATAATCCGTAAAAATTTTATATAATTTTATAGCTAAAATAACTAATGTCATTTCAGGCATTACTGTAAATCAGTTGGCAAATGTTTTCCGTGAACTGCAAAATCGTATTACCCTTTGTATTGCTAATGATGGAGAACATGTGGAGACTTAAATAAAATTTCAATAAAACCTTAAAAAAATATAGATTTACTTCTTTCTAACTCTTTTTACAAATTATTTCTATCGCAAATACAAATAATGTTATAAAATTTTAAAGTGCACACGAACTTTATGGACGCCCTGTATATTAGTGGCAATTCTATGTCATCAATGTTTGTCGGGCGCATTACAATCATTAACAATATATAGTACTGTTATAACTTAGATGCTAAAATGATTTCTTTACCGCTCAATTCGTGCACATTTCAAAAGTCGAAATATCTCATTTCCTAATTCAACATAAAAGGTTGAGCACTCATTCCGCATACGATTCCTACCGACTGTTGCCATTGCTGGACGTGGTCAATGTTTCAATGGCCAGGAATTTCAGGCCAATTCATTACCGTCTGGAGTCACTGCGAATAAAAATAGGTGACTGTATATGCGCCTGTATGCCGGTCTTTGTCCGTGTCTTCTTTGTCAAGCGCTCAAACATTCCATATGCGTTTGCGAGAAGAGAAAGATGGCCGTGGAGGGAACTTCGTTCTTTTCGGGGGAAAGAACGAGGTCGGTTTAGATGGCAGGTTAATTTCGGGATCTTGGTCCGGGTATATATATATATATATTTCTTCTTTTACTAAGACTGAAATTTCTATTATTCCTTTCTTTTTTATACTTTCTTTCACGCATATATACATATATATATATATATATATATATATATATATATATATATATTACAGCAAAAACAAAAATTACCTCAACATAGTCTATTTCAAGCCGTTCTGTACAGGGTCATCATCAGTCCGTAAGTGTCTGTCTTGGAGCATTATTTGAATTTTTTTTTTTTTTGCTGTAAAAAAAAAATCCATATGTACTATTAAAATAAAAAAAACATCGAGCTCTCTCTGTGGATCAGTTTGGAAAAAACAGTGAAAGAAAGAATCAAAAAAGAAAAGAAATAAAAATTTCAGTCTTAGTAAAAGAAGAAGAAATTTCAGAAGAAGAAGATGAAGAAATTCCAGCTTCAGAGGAGGAAAAAGAAGAAATTTCAGCTTTCAAATGAAGAATAATTTACAGCTTCAATAGAAGAAGAAAAATTTCGGATTCAGAACAATAAGAAATACCAGGTTTAAAATAAAGTGAAGAGATTTTAGCCTCAGAAGAAGAAATTTCAGCTTTAATTAAACTACAAGAATTTAAGTTTTAATATAAACAGTTGACGAAATTTAAGATTTCGCAAAAGAAAAAAACAAGAAGTAAATCATTCTTTATTAAAAGAAGGAATGTAACATTTAGTAAAAACAGAAAATTTAGTAAAAGAGTCGTAGGAAATTTAATCTTTACTAAACGACATTGGGATGGGAGGGAAAGATGTAAATGAAGGAAAACTTATTTATTCTAAGTGAAGAAGTTATGTGAGGAAATAAGAACGAGGGAAGAATTAAGACAATGTGGGTGGCAGGCAAAAGGAATACTAATGTTTCCGTTGTAAAAATAATTTGAATGGTAAGTAAGCAAGGAGAAGGAAAGAGAATAACAAAAGAGAATAGCACAAGCCGTAAGGAGCATAATAAAAACCACTTATCAATCACATTAATGTCTCTTGTTCCTTGTCATCAGCATTTTGAACTTCAAAGTCTCTTCTGAACGAAGTGTGTCTCTCCATTTGAGCCTAATTTCTTTCTTTTTATTCGGCTCTCTCTGACATCTATTTCTTTCTATATCTCTTTTATGTATTCTTTCTCAAGCAGTGTCTTGACATCCTTTAATTTCTTCTCTCTCTCTCTCTCTGGCTCTCTCTCTCGATTTTATTTTTAAATTTCCCATACCGCTCTTCTGTGACTGTTTGACTTTTTCTTTTACTTTCTGTCACTCTTCCATTTTCTGTCTCACTTTCAGATTTCTCCCACTCATCTTTCTTTTTCTTTCTTTCTTTCTTTCTTTCTTTCTTTTAAATTTCTCCTGCGTTCTGTTTCTCTCTCTCTCTCAATTTCATTTTTAAATTTCTCATACCGCTCTTCTGTGTCTGTTTGACTTTTTCTTTTACTTTTTGTCATTCTCCCATTTCAGATTTCTCCGACTCATCTTTCTTTCTTTCTTTTTCTTTCTTTCTTTTAAATTCCTCCTGTCGCGTTCTGTTTCTCTCTCTCTCTCCCTCTCTCACACACGTTCTATTTTTCTCACACTTCCTCTCTCTTTCTGTCTCAATTTAAAATTTCTCCTAGAGGTTGCTGTTCTTCTATTTGTCTCTGTACGTTTGCACACTGACAAGTCAAAAAAGTTCAAAATGAAACCTGAAATTGTAAGTCAATGTCGGTTCGAGGTTTCTTTCTCATTCCACCCACGTTTTTTATTCTCCCTCTCTTCTTGTACATCAGCCCCCTCTCTCTTTTTTTACATCTCTTACTTTACTCCCTTACTTTTCTTCTATCTCTCTTTCTCTCTCATAATTTATTACAATCTCTCGCGCGCATGCTCACACATACACACACAAATTTACAAACACACTCACAGAACTCGTTCTGAGAAGACTAGAAAACGGCAATCCCTAACGTTATAAATCGTTGTCAGAGTTCTTCTAGAGACGAAAAAAGGATAAAAGAATGGCGTGATTGGTGCCTTGACACGAAAATCGAATCTGTTCCATAATTGAAAACGATAAGAGTTAAAAATGTGGCTTTAAAGTGAAAAAAAAAAGAAAAAAAAGAAAAGGCTTGTCACTTCTATAATTGTGTATATCTCAGCCTCGTTCTGATTTATAAACGCACACATTCTTTACCTCTTTCTCTGTGTATCGCCCACTTTTAGTTTTTATCTCCTTCTGTGTTTTAAACCCTTGTAAATGACCGCTGTGGGTCGAGTAAGGCCAACGTTGAACGGCACCACGGCACCACTGACTGGAACTTTGCCGCGACGTCATAACTCTTCATTTAAAACGGCTAATTATAATTATGAAAGGAGAAACGATGGTCATTTCCGGTTGAAGTCTTTGTTCGTCGCCATTATCGTCGGGATTTGCATAAGGAGAATGTTTCCATCATTATTTTCCCGAGTTCAAGGCAGGCTGCTTGAAGACAGAGAAATAAGTTTTCTTTTCTTTTTTTTTATTTATTTATTTATTTATTTTTTTAGAAAACTTAAAGATACTGATAACAAATTTGTCAGATAACGTTTCGAGTACGTAAAAAACAAGGTGATATAATGGATGACTATTTGTTATTTAGCTTTGTCAGACGAATAACTTTTGTGGAAAAAATGTATGAAAAAGTGGAAAAAAGTTTTATGTGTGACGCGTTTCGCTGGTTGATTTTGTTTAGCGGCATATCAACGCCACTATTGCATATTTAATGAAGAAATCTAAATATTTTGAACATAATTTTATGGCTTCACCTAAATATATTGTATGCCTTCAACTATATAAAATTTATAGCTGGTATTTTTTTATATATAAAAATATATTAATGGTATTTTTACTATAAAAATGTAATTTTATACTTTCACAGTGTTTTGTTTTTGTTTGTGGGAGGATCACTATTTGCCCATAGCTGGGACCCTAACAGGTGCTACCACCCCGGGCCAGAGTAGACATGGAAACAACAGCAATTAAGAGGTGTGTGTGTGTGTGTGTGTGTGTGTGTGTGTGTGTGTGTGTGTGTGTGTGTGTGTGTGTGTGTGTGTGTGTTTACGTTTTGTACACTTAGCTTTCATAAACTTCGTCTCTCATTAATTTTGGTTTGAATTTCTCCGATGAGGAGTTATCATTATTTACGCTATTTATATAAGACTATTATCCTTATCTTTGTTGTTGTTATCACAACGTTTCGGCCGTTGTGTCCTCTGGCCTTCATCGGGTGTATATCGATCCGGGTAACCTAAGACGAATTCTGAACCGAACTATTTACATGAGGACTACTGTCCTCATTTTTCTTGCTGTTATCGCAACGTTTCGACTGTTGTTCTCTCCGGCCTTCCTCAGCTGTATATCGATCTGGGAATTCTGTGAAAGAATCTGGCCTCATAGATTAAATTAAGAGTTCAGTTCCGAATTCCCTGCAGGTTACCCAGATCGATATACACCTGGTGAAGGCCGGAGTGCACAACGACCGAAAAAGATGAGGAGAATATTCCGAATAAAAATAGTGCAAAATAGATACTTTAATTTGATCATTTTTTTTTTTCGGTGGTTTAAAACAGCAGAATTAACGAAAAAGAATAGGTGGGAGGAGGAGGAGGGGGAGAATAAAAATGAAAAGTGCGAGAGGGTAGAAAGAGAAGAACAGAAAGAAAGGGGTCCACTTCATCTTTATATCTGCACATTTGTGTGTTATTTGTCAAATACCGTGCCCCATCCACTACCACCGCCGCCACCACTACCACCACTCCCGATTTTTTTTTTCTTCTTTCCAGACAGCGAGGCTCGCTACTGCGTCTCCAGCTTCTCTATCTCAAATATCGATGTTCTTTAATGCCAGGTCCATTATCCAGCACTTGTTGTAACAAAGAATAATCAACAAACAGAAAGAAGGAAATGTTAAAACTGTTCACATCTCTTTCGAGTTACACTGCCAGCTCCTTTCAGTATCCTATCGTTTGCTCCGTGGTCTTCTCCAGCGTCTGATTATCTGAGATAGGACCTGTTACAATTCTATGGGACTGCACAATACACACTGACAGAACAATCAAAGCTAACCGCCCAGATATTGTTATTAAAGACCACAAACAAAAAAAAGTGCCTTCTTATTGATATGGCAGTCCCTGCTGACTGCAATGTATCTTTGAAGATATTCAAAAAGTTGTCAAAATACAAGGACCTTGAAATAGAAATCTCGAAAATGTGGCATATGGGAACATCAACAATCCCTGTTGTAGTTGGAGCCCTAGGACTGGTTGGAAAAGATTGCAGTAGACTAATTGAAGGGATTCCTGGAACCCATGCCTCAAGGAGATACAAAAATTGTTCTGACAAGCACAGCCCATTAATTTTACGAAGGGCTTTATCTATGTAATTTTTTTGTCAGTGGAAAGTAAAATCATGATGCCATTTCTAACCTTAGGTCCAAGGGACCCGGAAAGAAATGTAAACGCCAGAAATCAAAGATAATAATAATAATAATGATAATAATAATAATAATAATAAAAAACTAGTTGGATCCTTGAAAATTTTACGGTTTTTCAATTTTAATTTTTCGAATCTTAATTGTTAAGTTAATGACTGAAAACGCTCTTTGCGAGTTCCCCAGCTATAAAATACCCGTAAAAATATACCCCCTCCCGTTGCATCGTTAAATATTTGAGTTTAAAAACTTTCACAAAAAACTCGCAGTAGCAGAAGCAAGAGGGTAGAGATGAAAGATTTAAACTTTTCTATTTCACTGAGGCAGACATTAAACACATGAGAGCTTTATCGCCTCTTCTATCTTCTCTCTCTTTCTCGCACTGAAACCAAACGGCATTTCTAATATGTCTTTTCCGTTTTTCCTCGCGATCAAATCGAGATAGTCCATGATCAATGAGATATTCACATGACGTACACGCACATGCTAACTAAGGAACAAGCTGAATTATAGCATTAATATTATTATTTTCTCTTCTTCCGCGAGGTTTTCGGTTTTCAACCGGTGATCCTTCACTATGGGTGTTCTCCATTAAATTTTACAATCTTAAACAGCTATATTTGCAGTTCCAAGGAACGCTGACTTTTGAAGCGATGGAATACTCGGCTTTATTCCAGTTTTCGTAATGTTTCTATCTATCTATCTATCTATCTATCTATCTATCTATCTATCTATCTATCTATCATAATCTGTTCATATCTATCTCAGTCAAGTTAATATATATCTATCATAATCTGTTCATATCTATCTCAGTCAAGTTAATATCTATCTATCTATCATAATCTGTTCATATCTATCTCAGTCAAGTTAATATCTATCTATCATAATCTGTTCATATCTATCTTAGTCAAGTTAATATCTATCTATCTATATATCTATCTATCTATCTGTGTATCTATCTATCTCAATCTTGCAACAACAATGCAATATATATATATATATAAATTGTAGCAACTAGTCGGCTAGTTCACATTTGCCTTTCCTGTCGTCAGGCTGCAAGTGCCAGTATTGCTGTTGCCAGTGCCAATAATCATAGCACTCGTAACCTGACAAAATGAAAGTTAACTAGCCGACGAGATATGCTACAATCAATTATAGCTCTATCTTCGTTGTAGCTTAGAGAGACAGAACTTTCCATAGCATATATAACACTAGAATTACAGTGTTAAAATTTTACCCTTTGCGCATTTTCTTCCAAGCTGGCGGTTGATGTACACATCAGCTTGAAAAGACAATTTCTAATGATTTTGGCATCTAGCAAAGCGCGAGACCTACGAATATTACGCTAGCAACTCTGCGCTTGTGCCACCGACAGCCATACTTCGTAACGGGATGCTAACTGAGTCCGCTCATGCAGTGTCGGGGTTTGTAGCATTCTGGGCTACACGTTTGACTCTGAAATACAACCAGACATAAGCAAGGAAATTCTACTACTTTAGTAATCAAAATATATTTTGTTTCGTGCAAATGTGGGGCGTTTAACAAATGTTTTAAATAATTTCCCCTATATAAATAGATATAGCATATACATATATAATGTAAACTTTGCTATATTCATCAGGGAAGAGGGCCGATATTTGAGTGAGCTTTTATAAATATAATCAATGTAGACATAGGAATCAACACTCGATGGTGACTGTTAGCTTCATGCCTCAGTGCGATCTCATAGTCACCATATTAATTCCACGTTGATTCCTATGCCCAAATTATCTATCTACCTATATATCTCTCCCCAACACTCTTTCTCTCCACACACACTCATATATATATATATATATATATATATATATAGATAGATAGATAGATAGATAGATAGATAGATAGATAGAGGATGTTAGTGGTAAATATACACATACATATGCAAAATATATAAATATATATACATACATGCATACACATGCATATATATTTTTTGAATCTGATGAATTGGATCATATTTACGATTCCAATGGAATATTAGTGTTTAAGCCTTTTATTATATATATATATATATATATATATATATATATATATATAGAGAGAGAGAGAGAGAGAGATAGATAGATAGATAGATAGATAGATAGATAGATAATATTAGTGGTAAATATACATATACATATGCAAAATATATAAATATATATACATACATGCATACACATACATATATATTTTTTTAATCTGATGAATTGGATCATATTTACGATTCCAATGGAATAAATTATGACCACGGAATATTAATGTTTAAGCCTTTTTATGATATATATATATATATATATATATATATATATATATATATTTATATATATATATATATATATATTTATATATATATATATATATATATATATATATATATATATAATGTTGATGGAATAGTAATATTAACCATTTCCTAATCAGGAAACATTCGGCATTCACTGACCAAGCAACCATTACTACAGCCGATTGAAAGTTAGTCACCCTTTGTCTTAAAACAGTTTTTCCGGAAAGTAATTATCGCTCAATATTAATGGGCGTTTCCTTCCTAACCTTTTATTCGAAGTCGTGTGGAAGGTCAGTATCTTGATTATGTCATTCTTTTCTCTTCGATTTACACGCTCTATCCATTTTTGCTGTGGCCGTTATTGAAAGTGATATTATTCCTGTTATCTGGTACAGTTCCTTGTCTGTGATTATGAGTTCACGAGGTTCAGAGAAGTGTGGCCTTTGCTAAGAGCTACAGGCTTCATTCGCCCGGAGCCATTTTTAAAGATTCATTATAGGTTTTTATCTTCTTAATCATTTCAAGCGTAATGGATACTTTCCGTCACTGTAAAGTCATTTGTTTATGTTGTGGATTCCGGGTTAAATAACAAACACCAGGAATGAATATATGAAAATAATGTATTAACGTAATAATACAACC